TTTTAGACTTTTCAACAAAATCGTTCTTTCCGTGTAGAATATATTTTTTTAAATAAGTTCGTATTTATATGTTAAATGTAATATATAAAATTTTTTTTTTTACAAAGTAAAATTTGTGAAAAACTGCGCAATGTACATTCAACACGGTGAATAAAGGGGGAATAAATTTTACAAAATTCCCACCGTAAGTCTACATGCTCGTCACTCGAATTTCCCGACACTAACAAAGCACGCGAGAGTACACGAAAAGAAATGTCGTCTGGCAGTACGGCTGTATATTTTCTATACGAGAGATAGTGTGCAAGGCGACCAAGAAGGAGACGGAGGAAGGTGGAGGAGGACGATACGCAGGAAAGGACGAAGAGGAGAACGTGAGGCAGAGGAGAAGCCTGTTTGGAACATCCCGGCGGTGGCGGTCCAAGATGGCGTCCACGCTCGCGGTGGTTTCCCGTTTTCTCTTTCTCTCCGTCTCCTTCTCTCGGCTTAATTCCCGATACCGTCAGCCCGACCCTTACCATCTTGCCCTTTTTTGGTGCGCGTTACGCCCATGGAATACATAACGCGGCGCTGTGATATACGCATGTAGAACGCATCTGGAGCGCGCGCCATGCCCGATTCTACGTTTGCTGTCGCTTATACGCGTGCGTGCGTGCGTGCGTGAGTGCGCGAGTGCGCAAGTGCGTGAAATAAGTGCGTGAGTAAGTGCGTGCACGTAACGGTATCGGGCACCACCGAAAGACACACCGGCCACCCCTCGGTCACGGATTAGCATATCAATCCCCCTCGTTATATATACGACCCCCGGTCGGTCTCTCTCATTCGCGCCCCTCCTTCCCTCTCTTTACCGCTCGATCTGCGCCATTAACGTTTCGCGTGAGTACATAGCCATTGTTACCTTCAATCGCGCGCAGGCTCTATACTCGATATCTTGGGACTATAGGTAGTTATGGACTTTAAAGACCGTGTCCTATTTGACACGCGAATTTTAGCCAATTGGAAATCTCGAATTATAAACTCTGTTCGCGCCGCATCGGAACTGTCTTCGGCGCGACATTCGGATTCTATAATAATTGCGGATTGCAGACGAGTGAAGATTAAATTTAATATTTAAGAGAGTAGAAAGCGTAGACTCTCTGTAGCGACGTTAACGAGAGATTAATGTAATCCTTACGTCCGGCGATAATAAATATCAATACCGCTAATAAATATCGTCGACGGATTGCATTAATCTATTGCGTCTCGTATTATATGACTGCCATAGCAGTATTATACTACTACTGCATTAATGTTGAAATATGATATTAGCTGACATATACGTTAATGGACAATGGAGTTTTTTGCGCAAATAAACCTTGCCGACAAGATCATCAATATAGTTGGCGATTTTTCCACTTTTTTCATCCAACTGGAATAATGAACATGTATATTCCATACATACACAGAAAATGTTTCAGACAAATCTTTCAAAATGAAACGTAGAACATCAAACAAATGTTTTTATTAAGCAAAGCATATCCGATTGGACACCATTATGGAACTACAAGCAATTAAAGATTTTATTATTGAACACTTATCCTTTCTTAATTGATTATAGTTATAACAGATGTTTAAAATTGTAAGTTCAATACAAAATATCGTCACAGCAAAGACTGCTGTGTTAAGAAAAAACAATTTTTTCATGGAACACATCTGTGACCATATCCGGAACCACATAATCGCATGCAGCGACAACCCATGATAACAAAGATTATTCTCGTTCGAGGTTTCAGAGGTTTCAAATGTGGTCTGTAAATGACCACAAATAACACTAATGGACTTAAACTAGATAAAGGTACAGATTATGAGATAAGCTTTTTACGATTTTCAAAGAAAACGACAGAATCTTGAACGGTTTAGTGTCCCATGACAATGTCTGACTAGATATGGTTTAACAAAAATATTTATATAATATATCCTGCATCTGTTTCATCTTATTTTATAATATTTAACTTGAAACCGAAAAGACAAACAAGAGACTTGAAGATTCCTGAGGTTATTTTAGAGATAAGGATTCTAAAACTCCAAAACGAGGATAATTTTTAATGTTAAGTTGACCTTCTTTATCAATACTGATATAAAAATTTGCAAAGATAGTGAGATTGCTTTTATTGACATTCGCTTCAACACATTGCAAATAATAAAATCTTTATATGTAATGTAAATGTTGGTATAGACAAGAAAGACGAGTTAGCTTTCATCTTCAATATTTTATCAATACTTACGTGCGACACGAATTTTAGATAATCTGATTCGCTTTGATCCTAGCACGTCAGTCAAGACTATCTGGGTTTTTTGTACCTAAATTACACTCCTTAAAGTGAAATATAGGTATATGTTTGATATTTACGAGAAAGTTTAGTACAGTACAGTACAGTACAGAAATAGAAAACAGATCTCCTGTCAAAAACTTCAATTCCCTAGCAATGTGGGATAATTTTAATTTTCAAGATTGGCAGTGAAAAAAAAACTTTCGAGAAAAATATGTTTCGAGTCTCGAGAACAAGTGCGCGCAGTAAGAATGTTTGATTTATTTTTTAATTGGATGTAATGTACTGATGTGAGAACAAAAAATTGTTGAGGATTTTTCAGATCTTTACTGGCATCCGTTCAAAATTGAAGTATGTAGATTTTTTAATTCTTTTCATTTTGTGACAAACGTGTTCATTGCAGCTCTTGCTCTTATATGAAAAGCACAAGAAGATACAATTTTTGTGTCGTGCCAAATTCCCGATACAAAAAACATCGATCAATGATATATATAACCTCCTAACAATCTACAATACATATAAATTAATATTTTTGTTGTTTGAAAATTTTTTTTAAACATATTTTCGTTAAAAATGTCTTTTTCATTTTTGTGTACTTTATTATAAATTTATTAGAAAATTAAATATAACTTATATTTTAATTACTTCAGAAATCAGAATCACAAAATGATAACTTTGAAAATTGGGCATGTTAAATCCCGTGCAGTTGTTGAAGTTATTGGAATATAATTATTTCCTCGTTGCGATTATTATTGAAACTTTAAAATATAGAGACAAAAGGCAACCTAAGAAAATAGGGATTAGAACGAAAGACAAATATTTTTTAAAACGTGTACATTTCGTCAAATCATAAGAACACTTTTTTTCAAAACAATTATCTTATACAATATAATCAGTAAAACTTTTGATGCACATTCCTATTTTATATAATTTGAAAGTATCATGGAAAACAATTATTTATGAATTAATTAACATTTACTACCGAATTGCACATCAAAATATCCGACAGGATCTCACATATCCTGACTGCCATCTGATTGCAGGAGAAAAAAATCTGGCGTTCTAGGATTAAGTATTTTCATTCAAAAATTATTAGTTTTTTAGGATATTCAGATTAGAGATTTTCAAAATAAGATGATTTTCGTTCGACAGAGATTTCAAATGTGATCTTTAAATGACTACAAATAATCTCAATGGAGTTAAACTATAGGTAAAGATACAGATTATGGGATAAGCCTTTTGATAAGCCTTTGATTTCAGATTAAGATTTTCAAAATAAAATCTTTCAAAATAACTTCAGGAATCTATCTTCAAATATTATTTAACTGTTATTTATTTGTTTTTACGGAACATTTTGTATAACCATGTAATTAATCTTCTTTATATAACCTATTTCAAAAGTTTTCGAACTACTTTTAAAATTTTTTCTACGGCTATATGTATATGTATGTAAAACTAAAGTTACCTGTAAAGGTAATTTGGAATTATTTTCTATGAAACTTTATTTCTAACTCTGTAAAGTTGTGTTTCTTTACATTACATTATTTATTTGCTGTAATATCAAAAGTAAGAGTTCGTTTTTGACACTTAATTGTCAAGAAAAGTAACAAAACAAGAGGTATCTGAGTGCTTGACTATCCATCATAACTTCTTGTGATTTTTTTTCTGAAGTTGAAAATAAAACTGGAAGGACATTTTAAAATAATTTCGGAAATTTAATTTAATTGTGAGATACAGAAAGTTTCAACCGATCATTTTCCCCATTTCAAAAGAAGATTATTAGAGATATTTCTAGAAATTGTATGATCACTATAAAGAACTATTATTTAAAATAAAATGTATTTTGAATAACTAATAAATAAAATTATAAAAATCGTATAAGAAATTGAATTTTTAAACAAAATTTGGAAACTTTAAAAACAAATCGTGCATATTTAAGAAATGAAAATTAATTAATATACACATATATTTACGTTAATATACATATATGTATATAAGAAAAATAGATATATTTTTTCTTCTTGCGTGTCTCGTCTGCAAAGTGTCAGGAGTATTACATTACCATGATGGTAATATCTTTTTTATGAATCAAGAGTATATCACGCGCGTGCAAAGTGCAAATGAGACGATTATTACTGACTGCGAAACGAGGAGAGAAAACAATGAGGATCGCCGCGTCACGCGAATGCATCTCCGAGCGAGACCGTGATTCTTCTCACGGCGCGCTCCTTGTAAGAAATATCAATCTTGCTTAACGCGTCACGAGAATGCTAATGTCAAGTCGCCACTGACATTGCTTTATTAATTCTGTGTACAATTTGCATCGCGTATCACACTCGGCAACTAGAAAAGGCGCGTGCATCAGATAATCTTAATCTAATTATCATTCTCAATCAAGAGGATTGAATTTATTAATCGCAATTCTAAATCTTATTAAATATTTAATGATGTTAACGAGGTATTTTCGATATTACTTGAGATATATCATATTCTCCGCATCCACGCGCGAATGGTAAATAATAATAGTAATTATCTATAATATATTGTAATTGGCTCGTTAGAAATACGATAGAAGCAATCCCGATTAAATTACGAATTTCCGAGTTTGACCGAAAAGATCGTTCGGCTTGATCTTCGTGCGCGACGAGATCAATGCAGGAAGCGTTCGCGTCTTGAGTCTCTTCCTAAGCTTACCTGAGTTTCCGTCAACGACAACGCCTGCGCCAACTGCTTTCTCTCCGCGCCGACGACGTAGTGATTTTTCTCGAAAGCGTGTTCCAGCTTAAGCAATTGGCTCGGGCTGAAGGCCGTCCTTATTCTCTTCGGTTTCCTGAAGGGTTGAAGTAAGAAGCCGGGTATGTCGGGACCTGAGACGAACAATTTTGACAAAATATAAAATTTTATAGGGAGTTTCAGGAAATTTTAAATTCTGCTTCGAGTAATTTAGATATAATATAGAATTATTTTAACAAGACTTGGTTACCATATCTTCGCTGAAGATTATAATTAACGAAAATGTAGTAGAGAAGAAAAAGGAGGAAAAGAAGGCGAGGTTGCCGCGAAGTTGATGAGATATCATTAAGAGGGAAGGTAAATGTTGAATCTAAATAATGAATCAGCGATATGAATCGAAACGTTGGTAAGAACGCGTAATTCACCGCCGACAAATTAAAATGGTAATTTAATTGCACGAGGAGCTGCCGGCATGAAGTTTTCAGCCGCGGTTCGAACGGTTAGTCGGTCGGCATGGGGGGGACAGGGGTCGCGCGATTTATTAACGATTAATTAATTGTTAAACGCCAGAACGTCATCCGGCTAGGTGTCCGTGGGCGCCTCATAGAGCGCCTCGCCTTGAAAATAAATAATCGGCACGCAAGCCACGAATTCGTTCACGAACTGTATAGGACCGTGGCGTGCTGTGCGAGAGAGAGAAAGGGAGAGAGAGACACACCCACACGTGGACGCGTGAGAGAAGGTGCGCACACACACACGCGCGCGCGCACGCACACACACACACACACACACACACGCACACGCACACACACAGAGAGCGAGGAACTCGGGGCCAGGTAATTGAGTATTCTACCACGAAAGAGCCATGTCGATCGGCCGATAGCCACGTCTGCCGGAAGTCACCCGAGATGCTTTAGCGGAAAGCTCGGGGACGATAAATCGCCACGTCGCTCGCCCGCACGGTTTCCCTACGCGGCGCGTGACTATACTTCACGACTGTGTGTTATACGGAGTGTTAATCCGATTCCCAGCAATCAGTCTTTGAAATCGTTGGAAGAGGTATCGCGGCGAAAAGGAGGGGGGAGGGGAGGGAGAAAAGTCGAAATCGAAGTGCTAGAAAGTCCGCTGAAATCGATGAAAGTCCTTTCGAGAGACAAGTCCGTTCATGCAAATTCAAAAAAAGAATTTGATATGCGTGATTACTCGATAATAATTTTTCTCGCGACGCGAGAAAGAGAGAGAAAGAGAGAGGGAGAAAGACATGAGGAAATTCAGCGCGAGGCCTGTCAATGCCGGGAAAGGTTCTGGTATGTAAATCCGAGATAAACGTAACAAAATTTCTCGAACTTCTCTCTATCTCTCTCTCCTCCCGATGATCCCCGACATCAATTAGCATTTGCATGCGCCTTCCGTGTTATTATTCATTGCGGTTTCTAAATTACAGCGTCAGCGCGCAAAGTGATCTAAATAAGTCACGCGCAGTAGGTTACAGCTGTAGTAACCGGTATAACGTACACGCGACCAGCACCGCGCAACGGTGAATCGTATCATTTGCATTGCGAAAAATTTATCCGTTAGGATCTTCGCGGCTGAAACTGACAAGTTAATAGCTGGATAGCGCGGCGACTTAGCAGTCGCAGACTATATCCCCTATAGCCATCTGTACGTTTCCCATATTTTTTGCCGGCCACGGGATTCTCAATTGCGGCATTAGAGCTGACAAAGTGATCGAGAAGTAGGTTAAACGCGCATCGACCGGATAGTATAAACGATCGGCCGATGAATCATTACATTCAATGTCGGCTGTCGATACGCCGAGTATACCTGCGATTTTGGGTAATGAACGGGTATCTTGATACCCGGATAGAGATTCGTACTGACAGCATTAATCCCATTTGCATCGCGAAAAGAAGCTGCCGTATAATCTTCGCGGACGACTCTATACGGGCCTGTCATTCCGGGTGGCCCTCCGATACATAAGTCGCATTTTTATCTCATTTTAAAAAAACGAAGAGGACTTGCGCGAGAAGATGATTAAACTCCGGAATTCATTTATTTTATTTTATCGTTTCATTTTTTTCCTCTCGGATTGGTTGAGGAACGAGATACAAAGTTTTTCAACAAAATTAATCGAGCAGCAATTGCCTCTTCGAGCGTATGACTTCACGTCATTGTTTTGCTCAACAGCTCATTTCTTGATGTCACTTCTCGGAATCGCGCGAGAAGAATCGCGAAGCAATACGGCTTAATGAACACGTCGCGCACACGGGCGTATGCGCACTCTGCTGCTTAAATAGGACGCGGCTTCCACGTGCGAGCGCATTCTTGCGAATCGCGCGGCGAAGATTGATCCTTGACGGGATCAAAGCGCGCCTCGCGTGCGAATAGACGCGTTAATCAACGCCATTCCGAGATGGCGATAACGTAGTCGCTTTCATCTAATCCGGCGTAATTCGTATAATCCACGTAAATCCCGATATACAAACTCGAAGAAATATACACGGAGAGAATTTTTTTTTAAATTTACCCTGCAAATCATGTTAATTATGAGACAATATAGTATTTAGGCAAATTTTACTGTGCATTGCAATAAGATTTCGCAGTAAAATTTATTGTAGTGCACAGTATAATTTACCTAAATACTATATTGTCTCACAATTAACATGATTTTCAGGGTAAATTTTAAAAGAAAATTCTCTCCGTGTAGCATCGCAAATGCTTTATTTTTATTTATTTATATAATATATCGAGTAATATTCGTGTACTGATATTTTTAATATATCTATAATGACCGTATTTAAAAATAAATTTACATGTATGTAGTTTTTATTGCACACATTTATAGGCATTTTTTCAGTTTTGTTAGCATCTCACTATTTGCAGGTGCAATTCTTTCTCTCTTTTCTTTATGCCTCTTGTAGTTATAAAATTGTTATTAATCAATTATTATTAACGGTCATTATTAATTAATACTGATTTTATATACATTAAATGTTATGGATCATATATATTTTTATAATTAATTTAAAATAATAATAAAGATTATTATTTTTCAATACTCAATTGCAAGGTGTTATAGCGAGTAATTTATCTATTAAATCTTACACTTGCGATATACTTACATATATAATGTGTTTTTTTTTCTGTTATCCTACACAACAGAAGGCGAGTTCAGATAAATGTAAATTACGTCGAATTACACGAGCGGGCGGTTCTCTGCAGGTACACGGTCGGTGCTAATTACAGCGACGGAATAAAGGATCATTAGCGGCGCGCCCGTGCGTGAAGCGATCGCTATTTATGTGGGTAATGAATAGTAATGCGATGACTCTTACTGGCGACCGTGCTCGGCCGCGATTTTGAATGCGCGACATATGTTGCATACCGCGACACTATGGTCCGCAGCTATGAGGTAACAATCGCGTTTCGCCAATAATTAATTAGTCAGCAGTACGGCTAGAATTAACGACGCGAGAAAAGTGCGCAAACAGCGCGTGATAAATAATTACATGCGCTTTCGTAACTGATCGCGATCCGTTAATGCGAATAAACAGAAATTATCGAAAATTTATCTAAAGAATAAATTTATATAAAGAATTATCATTCATACAGGAAACAACCGTTTTACCGTATTTTAATACAATTTAATTCTGCACATATTATGTATGAAATTCAATTTCTACTATTATTTTCGACTCTTATAAGATCCTTAAACGAGCTGAATATGGAAGATTACGATCGTTCAGAGGATCTTATAATCCGAAATGCGATCTTCACGAAGGTGGGCGATGCACGATCGATCCCTGCGATCCCCGTCGATTCCGTGCAGGAATCGCGCGGGCTCGCGGACGGGCGCTTCGTCGTTAGCAGTTCCCTAGGAACTTCCTAGACGTTGCCTCGAGCGACGCGCTTAACTCGTCCATTGCCTGGTGCGGGGAAGCGAAGGAGGTAAGAAGAAGAAGAGAAGAAAAGGAGGAAACTCACGACAACAACGAGGACGACACACAGCGCGGAGGAACGAAGAGGCGAGTCGGACGGCCTGTAATTACGGGAAGCTTGTGCTGCGGCTTTCGCAGCTGAGACGCCCAGAGCGACTCGAAATTACTCAAAAATAAGACCAAATGGTAAACGTATCAAATTATATGCCATCCCTCCCCCCGCACAGCCTGTCGAGCTTCCCCCCCCCCCCCGACGTTCTCTTTCT